CCTGGGCGAAGATCGGCCTGCCGCGGCGGGAACGTGGCGAGTTGGTGCGTCAGCGGCGCGCGATGTTGAACGCGCGCCTGAGCATGGCTCGCCCCGCGCGATTGAACAGATCTCCTGAGGCCCATGCCAGCGCGCCCGCCAGCTTGCTGGCATCACCTGGCCGCGCGCGCCACGACAACGCGTGATGGGGGGAAGACCGAGGCCCGCGCCTGCGCGCAGAGTGCCCGAGTCGAGTGCCGCATGGATGCGGGCTGTCCACTTGGCGATCTTTTCAGGCGGCGGCACGCGCGTCATCCCCCCCAAAGGCCAACGCGAAGTTCCAGGATACCGAGCGGGACAACGCAGAACATTTATTCGTCAGCCAACGCGGACTGGCCCAATAAACATCTCACGACGCGCGTGATGCAATCCAACAAATGCTCGGCCTACCGCGCGGCAAATAAATGCAGCCGATCATCCGGCCCGCGGGCCGCCTCGCGCCTCGGCTCATCTTTCGGCGCCGAACATCATTATCGCCCACGCAACGAAGTAACGCCGCGTGGAGCACACCGCGGAGCATCGCGCAGATGAGGGTACCAATGCGTTCCCAAGTATGCGCGCTTGCGACGTCGCGGGAGTTAGGCGCCGGTCGGCGCTCCTGCCCCGAATCGGCGCGCGCAGTGAGCACGCGCCGCGACCTCGTCCTCGCATCGGAAGATGCCACGAACCAATTCCCGATGCTCTGGTCGCAACGGAAGCCGCCTGAAGGCGGCGTCGATGTCAAGTTTACACAAGCGCGGCACTTCGGATGCCTGCAACCCTGGTGCGCGCCACTCTTGCGCACTCGCGGCGCAGCGGCCGCCTCGTCAGTAAACAGTTTGCAAAGCGCGAACATGTGATCGACCGCCTCGTGCCGCACGCGCTCATGCGGACGCGTTGCGGGGCTGATGTCTGCAATGGGGCATGCAGCCCCGCTTCTTGGCCTTCGCGACTTCGGCCGCCAGCCAATCGGATTTCTCGCTCCTGCCGCTCTGCAACAATCGCGGCCGCCGCCGCTGGCGCGCGCGCGCGAAAGCCGCGTCTCGGCCAGATCGTCTGGCTGAGCCCGTTCAGCGGAACCGTCGCGAGCACTGCGCCCACGTCGACGCGGTGCATAGGGGCGGCCATTTCCACGTTGGCCGCAGCCCCGACACGAATGCGCGGGCACTGGGACGCGCCGCGCGCGCACGCGCGACCGCCTGCTTGCCCGCTGTCGCGAGGCGCTCCAGCGCGCGAGGAAGTGCGCCCATCAGAGCCGCCGACAGGTTCTCTGAGCCAATCAGCTCCTCTATGCGAATGTTCGCCATCTGCGCTGGCGTCTTCAACTTATACGCCCCGAGTCAGCCCATGGCGGGTTTAGACTCGAACTCCTGCCAGTCCGCCCCCAACACGGGGCCCCGTCGCAGGGGGCCCAGCGACGCGCTGTCGGCCATGATAGCAAATAACCGATAGCAGCGAATCGCAAGTCTCCTTCGGCAGAACACTGGCGTCACAGCCCGCGCGAGCGGCAACTGGGGCGCAGCACTGCAGACCGCCTGCCGCTGTCAACCTGATACACAGCGCATTGATACCCTGAGCACCTGATAGCGACAGGGACCACCGAAGCCACAAACACAACACCAGATTCCGTGCAGGACCAAAAGGGCGCAGGCGAGCCCCCGACGCGGGCACCCGTGGAGCCCCGCGGCCGGCCACGATAGATTTCTCGAGAACGCCGAGACCCCTTTGGGCCGGCCCCCCCATTCCCCATGGGATTGACGCAACGGCGCGCAGGTCGCTCAGGACCATCGGAGAGTGCCCTCTGGGCCTTATACAAATCATCATAGTCACCACGACTAATGACCCTTTTCGGGCCGCACCCCTCGTCCTCCACGGGGCTCGGACGACAGCGCCGACGTCGCACTGGGCCAGCGCGGGAGGCCCCTCCCGGTGCGGCGTGAGCGCCAAGACCCTTGAAGGCCGCCCCAAAATCCTCTACGGGACTGGGGCGACCGCGCGTCAGTCACCCTGGACCCGCGGAAGAGGCGGAAGCCACTCTGGGCGCGGCAGCGACGCCAAGACCCCTCAGGGCAGATCCCAAAATCCTCTACGGGACTTGGACAACCGCGCGTAAGTCACTCTGGGCCCGCGAAAAAAAGATGGGTACTTAGGTCGCACTGGACCAGCGTGGGAGACCACTCTGGGCACGGTAGCGACGCCAAGACCCTACAGGGCCGATCCCAAAGTCCTCTACGGGACAAGGACGACGTCGCGTAGGTCACGCTGGACCCGAGGACGAGGCCCCAGAAAACGAGCAGCGACAACGGTCACGTCCGGCGCACTCTTGCGAACGGACGCGCCCCGCGCGTCGCCACAGGGGTGGTCCAAAGCGGCGCTCTGGCAGGCAAAGGACAACACCCTGGCCAGCCCCACCTCAGAGTGCACACTAGGCAGGTGGGGCGCTGCAAACATGGCCGGGTCCTTGATACCCCGCCCCGCGGCCAGGCGGCAGAAAGGATACATTTCGACCGTGCACGGAGGGACAGAGGAAGGAGGGACACCGACCTACGGCAGCGCGGCGCGGCAGCATGCCCGCGCGGGAGCCTGGCCCGCCCGACGGAGCGGCACCCCGCGGCGGGTGGTCACGCAGCCGCCCGCCATCGCGCGGGGCGCCGACGGCGGGACACTCCCGCCTGGGGG